GAACTTTGCTTTTCCAAGTGATTACACGACTTCGGGTTGACTTTTGCTTCGCTGTTACACGTTGTTGGATTGCTATTTTTCAATGCATGGACGCAGTTCATAACACAACACATTAAAACTATTTCTGGACATACGAAAGTTTAGTCGCCACTCTTAATAATTTTCTATAAGCCCGTTCGTTAGGTTTGACCACCAGCCGCTGCAGCGACCGGGCTTACGCTAGAAGCGACACAGGGCCTTAATTTTTCTTCTTTTTCCTGATGCTATAGCTACAAGCAGCTATTTGTTTCATTAACAATTTTCTTCGTGCCAGATAGTTGTGAGTAAAGAACTCAAATGCTGTTCTGAGGTGCTGTTCTGCTGCAATATAGTGGTAATACCCGCAAGCATGCCAAGAAAAATTTTGATTAACAACTTGATGTCAGCCATGCTTATGCTGGGTATTTCTTTCTTCAAAAAGCGCGCACATTTTGCACAGAGGCAACGTGATTGGGAACGAGGTTTCGGAGTGAAAATCACTTCAGATTCAGTGTTTACACGAGAAGGATTGCGAAGCGAAGTACTTCGAATTGATTTTCACTTCACCTCCAGAGCGGAATGACTTTCATTCTGGTTACGCCCACCGAAGTACTTCCGATTGCCTAAGCGTCGTGTAACTGAAACCCCTATCCGAAGTTAAAAGCAATCAGAAGTGAACCAAATCCGACGTCGTGTAACTCGGGCCTAAGTTGTACACCCAATAGACCCCTTTCACAATTACGTCACGCAGTATTTGAATGAGAGACGAACGCTTGGAATCGAGGCAACTGATGTAGTTTCGTCTCATCTCCTTTCATACGGTGCGGTGCGACAAGGATTAACAATCGTAGCTTATCTTTTTTATAGAATTACGTTAAAATTTTATTGTTAAAATGAGCAGCGAAGACATATTAGATATAGGTCAAGATATATCCAAGAAGAAAAAACGATCTTTTGGACGTCAATGCGCCGCTTATGGATGCTATAGCTACTTTTATAACTCCGATGGATCTCGAACTGGCCTACATTTCTTTGCTTTTCCCAAGTCAAATCCTGAAAAGCATCGCTGGTGCTCTTTGATAAAAAGGATTGACGGCATGGATGGTTTTAAGGTCAGCAGCTCGACCTTTTTGTGTGAAAAGCATTTTACGTCAGCTGATATAAAGCGAAACCCGAACCATTGGCGACTTGTTCCTGGTGCTGTACCCTCCTTGAATCTTGTGGCTGGTACTGTCCCTTCAACAGGAGGCAAATGCAAAGCACGAAAACCTCCATCAGCTCGTTTTCAAATATTCCCCAGCTCATCTCAGGATACATCTTAACAGTTTTCAAGCTTTGGTGGTGAAATTGATGCTGAACTTGGCTCTCCGTTTGAAGAAGATCTTTCTACATCAACTGTATCAATATCAACACAAACTGATTTCTCTTTTGTAAATTCCCCAACATACCTTCCAATTGATTTTGAAAAGATGGAAAATGATATAATGGATTCATTCATCAAAAGTGACACTCTGCAATCTCAAAGTCAAGAGCTCTCTGCCAAAGTAATTAAATTAGAAAATCAAGTGGAACAGCTAGAGTTGAAGCTTGCTCAAGTTAAACTGTCTCTTTTTTCTATTGAAAGTTAAAGTCTGATAGTTCTGCAACAAAGTTTTACACTGGTTTTCCAAACTTTCCTACACTGATGTCAACATTTGAGTACTTTGAGCCTAAAGTCCTGCAAATGCAATATTGGCGTGGTAACAAGTCTTCACAAAGCTCTGATGATTATCACACCAAGTCTTCACGTGGCCCAAAGCGCTCTCTCACTCATCTGGAAGAATTCATTCTTGTTCTAATGAGACTGAAAGTTGGTTTGTTTATTGATGATTTAGCTGGTCGTTTTGGAATTTCTTCCAGTCAGGTTTCAAAAATCTTTACAACATGGATTTGTTTTCTTTACCACGAACTCCCACTGCTTTTCGAACCCCCTTCTCAAGAGGTTGTTCGTCAAGCCATGCCTGCTCAATTTAAAGATTTTCCAACAACGAGATTAATCATTGATTGCACAGAAATATTTGCAGAGGTTCCATCATCTATGAAAGCACAGTCCCAGACATGGTCCGAATACAAGCACCATAATACATGGAAAGTTTTAATTGGCATATCACCCTCTGGCTTAATTACCTTTGTCTCAAAGTTATGGTCTGGTAAGGTCTCTGATAAAGAAATCACTCTTAAGTCAGGTGTTCTAGCCCTTCTTGAGGATGGTGATAACCTTATGGCTGACCGTGGCTTTGATGTCAAAGATATTCTTCCTCCTGGAGTGACTCTAAACATCCCACCTTTCAAGGGTACACGAGCACAACTGACAGCGAATGAGACAGAAGAAACTGCTCGCATTGCTTCTGTACGCATTCATGTGGAGCGTGCCATTGGAAGGGTAAAAAATTACCACATCCTTGATGGTGTTCTACCATTATCATTACATTCAACAGCTAATCAGATTTTCACTGTTTGTTGTTTACTTACAAACTTTTTGCCAATTTTAGTTGAACCTAATGATAATAAATAAATTACTTCTATATATATATATATATTTATAAACTTTCTTTACATCTATCTATGTTTGTTTTAGCCATGTTACATCTGCTCTATATGTACAGTATATAATGATATTATGTAAAGATTAAACACATACCAATACTTTAGAGCATACAAAATGTTACATCTATTCTGTATGTATAGTATACAATGATATTATGTAAAGATTAAACACATACCAATTCTTTTAAGCATACACAATGTTACATCTATTCTGTATGTATAGAATACAATGATATTATGTAAAGATTAAACACATACCAATACTTTAGAGCATACAAAATGTTACATCTATTCTGTATGTACAGTATACAATGATATTATGTAAAGATT